CAGCGCCAGGGACAGGGCCTCCCCCATGTGTCCTGTTCTGTCAGCACAGCTCTGTGGCTCTTTTAGTAGATAATGGCAGCCTCCAAAGATTCGAGGGGACGGTGAGTTTTGTTGCTCCATCACCACCCCACAGCCAGGTTGTGATGGATACAAGCTCCAGACCCCGTTCAGCCACACAGAGAGGACCCCAAATGGTCACACAGCCTGCTCTCTGAGGTCATGAAACCCCAGCTCTTTATCCTATGAGGGGGGCTCTAACCCTGTCATATGTAAGGTGCTCATCAAGGCAGCCAGAACTCAGCTCTACGAAGAGCAGAACTGTCCAACAGAATTTCCGAGATGAGGGAAACCTTCCATATGTGCGCTGTCCAGTATGGCAGCCGCTGGCTTCATGCGACTGCTGGACACTCGAAATGTGACTATTGGGACCGGGCGACTGAATTTTAAATTTTATTCATTTAAATGTAAAAGGCCATATCTGCTATGACCACCATATTGGACAGCACTTGTACGAGAAGCACAGAACTCAATTAGCCCATGAGATTCAGGCGAGCAGAATCTATGGAGTGTGAAGCGGACACAGGCCTGGTCAGGGTTAAAGTCTGGGACTGCCGCCAGGGGTGTAGACTATAAGGCTTGCTAAAGTCACAGTCCCCGTTCATGTAAGGGCAGAGTGTCCAAAAAAAAAAAAGGGAAAAAATCCAGTGAATCCACATTTCTTGAATGCCAGCAAGAGCCTATTACTGACATCCACTGTGTGGATTAAGGAGACACTTATTTCACCCATGAAAACCCATTTCTGACATTCTTTATGCTGACTTCACAAAGCCCCTGGTGTCCATGGGAAATAAGGACAGCACTTGTAGTAGGGCCTCTGGAGTGTGGCCTTTCTGATGAAACACCAGCTGACACCCCCCCCCCAACGTGAGGAGGCCTGAGTAGCCGGGCCACACGCAGCTGGGGGCGACATACAATAAACATTACCCCGTTCTGTTCACTTATAGCAGTACCACATGCGGCACCCACAAAATAGCACACTGTCAGCGCAGAAATGTTTTAAAGTAAATGACAGACATTAAAACAGTGCTCTCAATATTTGTCAAAGAAATGAATGAATAGTTGAACGAACGAGCTAGGATTCTATGGGTTGCAAATGACAAAATGCTTTTCAAGTTTCCTTAGTCAGTAAGCAAGGATGGTGTGGGGTGCGGCTGGGACCACCAGGCCTCTCTGAGCCAGGAGGAAATAGGGCTGCCCTCAAGGACTCACAGGCAGAGCTTCATTACTGACTCCAGATTCCCCAGGTCAGGAGCTGGGGAGTCCAGTGGCCCCTGTTAGGAGCAAGTGTCTGCTCATTTATTGATTCTTTCATTCAGCGAAGCCTGGTGCTGGGAGCCACCCTTGGACTCCTGGGGCGTGGAGGAGGGGAGGGGCAGTTCTCTGAGAAGGGGGGTCCTTTCTGATCAGGGCAGACACCCCAGGAGGCTCCCCGGTGACTGGGTGTGTTTGTGTGGACAGTGAAGGCAGGGGCAGGGGGAGGCGGCAGGGCAGGCTGTGGCCCCCAGCCCAGAGCCTCTCGCTACCTCCTCCCCTTCCCCTCTCCACATCCAGAGAAGATCTTCTCAGAGGTCACTCCCAAGTGTGAGAAGTGTCAGAGCGTGGTGAAGCCTGGTAAGCCTTGGGGCCAGGGACCAACCGAAGGAGACTTGGACTGGACCCCCCCAACCCCTTCCCGAGAAGGCCACAGTCGCCGTCACCCCGCCTCTGCTTACCCTCTCTCCAGGGAGAGGGCTCCATACCCTGGCCTGTCCCTGCTGCTCACATTCCCACCCAGCCCTGAGGTCTGCCTTCTGCTCCTGCCTTTTCTCGTCTCCATCCCTGTCTCTGTCTCCCCCGTTCACTGTCCCTTTCCATCCTGCGTTGTCTGTCTGTCCATGTTTCCACCTCAGACATCGTGTTCTTCGGCGAGAACCTCCCAGCACGTTTCTTCTCCTGCATTCAGTCAGTAAGTGTCTCTGCACCGCCCTGTGTGCAGCCCCTGTGGGGACAGCCTGCGCCCTGCCCTGGGGAGGGTCAGTTCCCCCCAGAGCTGTAGTGGGCTGGGGGCCATGGAGCCCTCACGGCTGTACCCCTCACAGGACTTCCTGAAGGTTGACCTGCTCATCATCATGGGCACCTCCCTGCAGGTGCAGCCCTTCGCATCCCTCATCGGCAAGTAGGTTGGGGGTCAGGGCTGGGGGGTGCTGGGGGCTCGGGGAGCCAGGATGTGTCCTCACCACTCAACTCACCGTCCCCCCAGGGCACCCCTTTCTACCCCCCGCCTGCTCATCAACAAGGAGAAAACTGGCCAGGTGAGTGGGCTTTTGTTGGCACCCTCTCGTTCTGTTCTTCCTGCCTGCTCGCTCCCACATGGGTCCCCATTCCCTCCCACTGGCCTCCTGGGAACGAAGGGAGGGGTCTCTAGGGAACCCAGTAGTTCAGATCGCTCAGCTCAGGACCAGGGATTCCAGGGTTCAGAGGGATCAGTCCTCCGCTGCCCTGACTCTAAAACTCCACAGGCCTTTGGGTAATTTAGGACCCTTTTGAGCAAGTGACATAACCCCAACTCAGAGCCACTGAAGCCAGAACAGGGATGTTGCACTTTCTGGGACTGAAGCATCAGGGCAGCTGGAGCCAGGACCTGCTCAGTGGCATCAGTCACCAGCCTTGGGCTCCCTTCTGGAGAGTGACGTTTCCTCGAACAGGCAAACATGCCACGTGCCAGACGCTGTTGTAAGCATGTCCCTGCATTAACCCACTGACAGTACAACCCTAGCAGTGGGTTCGTGGATCATCCCCATTCTACAGATAAGGAAACTGAGATTTGGTGAGGCCATGTCACCTTAGCAAAGTCACAGGGCTGGGATGTAAACCCAGTGCTCTTAGCTCTCCCCGCGCCCCTGCTTCCCTGCAGACTGACCCGTTCCTGGGAATGATGATGGGCCTCGGAGGAGGCATGGACTTCGACTCCAAGAAGGCTTACAGGTGAGGCCTGGGTCTGCTGTTGGGGGTGGAGCCTGCAAGGGACAGGTCCAAGGTGGGATGGAGGGTGTGAGGGCACAGGGACAGGGCAGAGCTGGCAGGGGCCCGGGGCAAGCCTGGGAGATCTGACTCTCACTCAACCACAGGGATGTGGCCTGGCTGGGTGACTGTGACCAGGGCTGCCTGGCTCTTGCTGACCTCCTCGGATGGAAGGTGAGGAGCCTGGGCCACCCCAGCCCACCCTCAACCCAGTCCCTGGACCCCTGCCCCATGGGTCCTCTGACCCCATGAGGCATGGTGACTTCTGACCTCTGGAAACATTGTCCCCTGCAGAAGGAGCTGGAGGACCTTGTCCGGAAGGAGCATGCCAGCATTGACGCTCAGTCAGGGTCGGGGATTCCCAACCCCACCTCATCAGCTTCCCCCAGGAAGTCCCCACCTGCCCCCAAGGAGGAGGCCAGGACCACAGAGGGGGAGAAATCCCAGTGACACCTGTGTCTCCCAGGCAGGACACTCAGCTCCTTTGAGACACTGAGCCCCAACCAGCCCTGGCCCTCCCTAACTTGCAGCTCTTGTCTGGAGAGCTCAGAGCAGTCCCTCAATCTCATAACCACTCCCTCCTAAAACTGGGGTCCCAGCCCCCCTGACCCTGGCAAATCTCTAACATATCCTGAGGGCTGAGGCTGGGGCAGCCGTTTTCTAATAGCCTGGAGCCTCTAACCACCTCCAGGCAAGTATCAACCTCGCCTAATCTCTAACTGCTCCTGGGAGACCAGGGAGGGGGCCTCCAAATTTCTAACTGTCCCAGGACAGGGCCCCAGGGCCCCCATACTCTGAACTGCTCCCAGGGACCTGTGGCCAAGTAGACAAAACTTAACCTACCCTGGGTGGGGCTGAGGCCTCTCCAAACAGAAAATGGGCTTTGAGCCTGAAGGCCTCCCACCTCTCTGCCTCCAAGTCCCCAAGTGGGTGCTAGGCTGGGCTGCCTTCACTCAGGACCCAATTCCCATGTGGGGATGAGCAGATGATGTTGCTTATTGGAGATAAATTAAAAACAAAAAACTAACAATCAGCTGTCTGGCCTTGCAGTTTCTTTCTGTGGGCTCACAGGGAAGCAGCAGGAGGGAGGGGTAAGATCTGGGGCCACTTAAGGAAACCCGGACATCTACAGGCTCTTGTGAGAAACAAAGCAAGGGATGCTGACAGGGGACTCCAGAGTGGGTGGGAGCCTCATAGCTCTTACCCCTGGACTTCCAGTCCGCCAGGGTCCCTTTCTCCAAAGCCTTGTCACCTGAGGCCTGAGCACCCAGAAAGAGGGAGGAAGGTCGATTTCAGATAACCCCTCAGCCCCGCCTCTTCCCCCCCAGCTCAGCTTCCTCTCTGTGAGGCTCACTTTCACTTCCTGCTCCTCCAGCCTCGGAGAACAGGTAGGGGCCTCCAGGGACAGAGCAGCTGGCATTGTTACCCCCCCACACACCGCCTTCTTTGGTATTAGGCAGCTCCCCATCCTGCCCTGCCCAGCACCACCCACCTCCTCCTCCCCCTCTCATGGGACCCAGGTGAGCATCTGCCTCTCTCCCCCATCCCTCCTGCCTGCCTCTTCCAGGACAGGGCACCTGCTCTGGTTCCCCCTTCCTGACACCCTGGGCTTCTGGTCAGTGGGCTGGTTGATTTGTTTAGCTGTTTATTATCCATCCACTCTACCTACCCCAAAAAGAATGGATGCCCCTGAGAGCAGGGCCTATTCTGTCCCCAGGGCACCAGCACCTAATTCTGGGCCTGTAACCAATATTTGTGGGATGCATGGATGTCTAGATCCAGGTTCCTACTCCTAGGAATGCTTCAGGGGAACTATTCAAAAATGCCCACCTCAACTGGTAACCCACTATAGGCATCTGTACCTGGTTAAAGGTTGGGGTCCAATGGACAGATAGAGGGTTGGCTATGTGAGAAAGCAAAGAGTAAAATAATGGTAGAATCTAGGTAGTGGGTATAGGGATGTACCCTGTAAAATTCTTTTCATTTTTCTGAATGTTTGAAATTTTTCATAAAAAAATGTAGGAGGGCAATATTTGAGGGTCCCTCCATAGACTGGGAAGGGAGTAGCAGGGGGCGTTGTATAACATTCGTCTCATTTATGGAGCTGATTATGGACCGAGCCCTTTTCTAGGCACTGGGTTTTGACTACGCTTGTTACTCAGCTGGTCCACATTCACACGGCTGCACTGGATGTTAAAACCTGAAATATTTCCCCACCGTTTGGTAAATGCTTGCCATTTTGAGTCCTCTCCCTCTCCTCCCACCCCAAGACACACTGACCTCCCTCCCGGGATCCCAGAGCACCCCACCATCCAGTGATGAAAGAATTCACAACTGGCACAGAAAGAAGCCTTGGGTCCATTCTGATTGGCGAGGGTCTCTGCCATACTGGTTGCAAATATTTTGAACATTACCCCTGAACTGCAGCAGCCTTGAGCCTTATCTTCCTCCCTGCCAGAGGCCAGGCCATGGCCTGCTGGCCTCCTGCATCCTGAAGATGGCCCAGCCAGAGGACCAGGCCTTGGCAGGCCCCACCGATGGCGAGAGGTGAGCGCTGCGGGAGGCTGGGGTCTCCGTCTCCTGCCCCAGGATTCAGGAGCATCTAATGCTGCCTCCACACAGGACCCTGAACCCCATCTCTGACCCTTCACCTCTGGGCTTTTCCTTTCTGGACCTTTGACCCCCCTCATTGTCCAACTGCCCACCTCTGACCCCTGGTCTCCTGGACCTTGCATGTCCCAGACTGGTCCCATCACAGGAGAATGGAGCAGGCGAAATCTGCTTAGGGACCCTTGGAGCCCCAGAGCCACTTCTTCGACTGCAGAGGACATGGGGGGTGTGGCAGATCCCAGAGCTGGAGGCCCAGGGTGCAGAAGCCCTTCTGGAGCTGTGGCCACCGGGGGTGAGTACTCACAGCTGGAGACCCTTTCTGACCCTCCCATGACACCCTGAATCAGTTAGGACTCCTAGTTGCTAGTGACACACAACACAAACAGGGCAAACCCAAAAGGCTACTTATTGATTCAAATGACTGAAAACCCAGGAGTAATTTCAGGAATTCCTAGGGCCTGAGGATCAGACAACTTACACATTTCTCTTCATCCTGTTTCTTGGGGAATTCTGAATGTTTTGGGGCTGTAAGTAACAAACACTCATTCTATAGTCGTTTAAACAAATAGGCATTTATCTTTTTGTTGTTGTTAATCCTCACCTGAGGATATTTTTCCATTGATTTTTAGAGAGAATGGAAGGGAGGGAGAGGGAGGGGGAGGAGAGGAAGAGAGAGAAAGAGAGGAGGAGAGGAGAAGAGGGAGAGGGAGAGGGAGAGGGAGAGGGAGAGGGAGAGAGAGAGGAGAGGGGAGGAATATCAATCTCAGAGAGACACATCGATTGGTTGCCTCTTGCACACACCCTGACCGGGGCCAGGGATTGAACCTGCAACCCTGGTATGAGCCCTTGACCAAGAATCAAGCCTGCAACCCTTTAATGCATGGGCCGACATTCTAACCACTGAGCAACATTGGCCAGGGTAGCATTTATCTTTCTAACAACCAGAAAGGCAGCTGCTGGCTCTAGTTCAGCAGCTTGGGTGGCATCAAGGGCAGCATCTACAGTTCTCTTGGATGTTCCTCATAGTTGCCCAGTGGCTACTCCAGGTCCAAGCACATATGTGTGTTCTGGGCCAGAAGAAGGGAAGAAATGAAGCACCAGTTCCATCTGTTTCTTTTACCAGCAAAAGCAATAGCCTTTACATTTGATTCAGAATAAATGGATGGGGCCCAGTAGCAATATTTTTTAAAGCTCATCTAGGAGTTGTACAGCCAGAGACGGGAAGCACCATTATTCATCTTCGATGGCTGTGCATATTAATGCCCTGAGCAAAGCTGGTGTTCTGCAAGGAATAGGGGATAGATTTGGATAAGACAACTAACAGCCTACCATAGTGTCCTCCTTGGAGGAGCTCTCTCCTTGTGTTGTTAGAGATGGCTGTCCCCAGCTCAGCACCACATCTCACCAGATTGGCAAAACCAGTGTAAAAAGAGGCCTCTTGCCCTGGCAGTGTGGCTCAGTTGGATGAGCGTCATCCAGTGCACCAAAAAGGTTGCCAGTTCGATTCCCAGTCAGGGCACATGCCTGGGTTGTGGGCTCAATCCCCATGGAGGTGTGTCGGAGGCAGCTGATCTATGTTAAGTTCCCACATTGATGTTTCTCTCTCACCCTCTCCTTTTCTCTCTAAAAATCAATAAACTATTTTATTTTTAAAAAAGAGGCCTCTTCCCAAAGAGCTGCAGCAAAATTCCTGTAGAAGATTCCCATTGGTTAAGCTTGGGTCACATGCCCATCTCTGAACCAATCACAGTGGTTCCTGTTGGCTAAGTCAGGTCATGGACCCACTCTGAGGACTTGTGGGGAGTCAGTCTGACTCACATGGACTGAGAAGGAGTGGGGTTCTCTAAAGGAAATTGGGGGTGTGGAGCCCCAAATAAGGGAAATGGATGCTATGCATGCAAAAGTAACACATCTATGTAGACAAATCCTCTTCATGCTGACCTTTGTCTCCACCCCCCAGAGTTTCCTGGTCACAGGACATGACCCCAGCCAGGTCCTGGTGTTGCGGACAGGACCTTCACCAGGGGAAGTCAACACCTACCAGATCCAGAAGCTTCCTGGAGGTGAGGTTCCTACCCCTGAGTTTCCAGTCAACAGCAAATTTATCAAGAACGGCCAACTTTACTTCCAGAATATCTCTCAAATCTTCCCAATCCTCTCTGCCTCCATCACCCTAGTCCAAGCCACCATCACCTCTTTCCTAGGCCTCCTTTCAGTAGCCTTCTCTCTGGTATCCCTGCACAGACCCTTTCCTTCCTGCAATTCATTCTCACCACAGCAGCCAGAGTGGTATTTCAGTCAATCAGATGTTATACATTTCTGCCTTAAACTCTGCAAAGGATATGCAATATCTTTAGATAAAAATTTAAAATCCTCATCATGGCTTATAAGGTATTTCAGTAGTCAACCTGCCCACCTCTCCACCTGCCACCCCTCATTCACTCTGCTCCAGCCACACTGTTCTCTTCTCTGTTCCTCAAGCACACTAGATGAGTCCCAGCCTCAGGGCCTTTGCATTTGTTCACCCCGAATTAATGCTCTTCCTTGAATGACTGATTTAGTCTCCATCCTTCAATCCTCTGTAGAAATGTAACCTTCCTTGACCACCACAGTTAAGATAGCCCTAGTTATTTTCAATTACTCCATTTTGTTTATAGCACTCAATACACTTATCTTTATTTTTCTACTCATTTATTTTCTGTCCCCCTCTACTAAAATGTAAGCTATAGGAAGGCAACGATTATATCTGCCTTTTGAAGACTGTATCCCCAGTATCTAGGAATGAAAAGATGTGCAATAAAAACTTGTCTGTCTAATGAATGAATATTTGGTGGGATACAAGCATAAAGACATACGAAAAGATGGGGACTACAAGGAGTAGAAATTTCCCTGTTCTGCAAGTTCTTGGGGGGATTCAGGACTTGGGAAGAAAGAGTCCTAGGGAAGAGGAGGCTGCCACCCCTCGTGTTTTCTAACTTCTCCCTCCTTGCCCCTCCCCCAGGTGTGTCCCTGGAGTCCTCTAACCTCTGCATGCCAGACCTGCCCCATCTCCTGGCCTTCCTATCAGCCAGCAGGTACAGGTTACCCATCAAAAGGACTAAGGGAGATCCTTCCCTAAGACACCTTAACCACATTGTAGCTCCCACTTATCTTTTCTCAGGGATGTTTTGCCCAGAACGCTACTCTTGCCCCCTCCCACTCTAGGACCTGGGGAACAGCACACAGGTGAGGCATGGTTCTCTAAGGGAGGGAGAGGCCAACTTTCTGCCTACTTGGTCCAGGAGGATGGCACTTGGAGGACCAGACTACTAGGTTTGAGGGAGAGTCTAAGAGAGCAAGAGGGGGAGGTGACTCCTGGGCCTGAGCAAGGACGGGCCAGGTCCCAAGCCACAGCTCCTACAGTAATGAGTCTGAGAGCTAAGTCTCCTGATGCCCTGAAGGAACCAGGGCTGGCCCCTTGGACATCTGGGACACCTCACTTCTGCTGGCCCCCAGATCCTCTACAGATTGGCAGTGTCCAGCTCAATACCTCAGGGAGGATGTTCTTTGTGATGAACAAGCTCTACCTGGAGTCGCACAGAGGGCAGGGGATGGAACAGACTCCCCCAGAGACACCTCCAGAAACTACCAAGAAAAATGATCCAGGTTAGCTGGGCAGGGCCCTGGGTCCCTGAGATGAGGGAGCTGCTGCTGCCGTTCTGTGGGACTAACCCTCTCTTCACATCCAGCCCCCAGGAACCCCAGCCCTCATCGGGTCTCTTGGGTCGAAGGCCCACTCAGCCCAGAAGTAGACCATCCTGGGCTAGCTCTGGCCAGCCTGGAGGAGGAGGAGGAAGAGGAGGGTGACGACTACAAAGATAAAGAAGGACTAGAGGATGTGCTTACTAGTCATATCAGGGCCCTGGCTATGGCCCGGAGCAGCTATGTGGCCAGGCAGTTCCGAGGCCTTCAGGCCCGTGTCATCTCAGACGCCGGAGGCTCCCACAGGCCTGGGGACCCTGCCACGGAGCTGCTTCAGGATGTGCGGCACTTCCTTACTGACCTCCAGGATCACTTAGCAAAGGATCCCAATGTCAGGGCTGTCTTTGGGAGCAGAGGGCCTGGGCTCCCCCAGAAGGACGAGGATCTTGGTAATGGGAGAACTGGGAGGGAACTTATGGCCACTCCCTGAACCCACATCGTTCACATTTGCCATCACTTGGCCCTACATACGTGTCCACACCCAAGTTCTTCCTCTGCATCCCTGTGCACACCTGCTTCCTTTCCCACTCACACGCCCTTTCCTACACATAGTACCACCTATTCGGTTCACCACGCCCCATCTCACACAGGTGTGACAGCCACGATCCCCTCTCCCACGCAGGTATTCACACCCAGGCTCCCTCTCCCACGCGTGTTCATACCCATGTCTACACTGTGGGTGCCCAGAAGTTCGGAAGGGGTGGTGGCAGGCCAGGGAGGGTCGGTGGAGCGAGCGGGTGCCCGTGGGTCAGCCGGGCGACTCTTCCCTCACCCAGTCTGCCCCTTGCAGGCCCCGCGGTGGAGACGGCCTTGTGCCGGGCGGTATTGGCGCCCCTGAAGCCAGCCCTGTGGACGCGACTCCGCACGCTCCGCGCCCCAGAGTTGCGGCGACTGCGGAGGCGCCAAACAGCCCTGCGGGCAGGGGCGGGGCCTCCCGGGGCTCAGGGGGCGGGGCCTGAGGGGCAGGGCCTCGCCCCCGCCCCCACCCTACGGAGCCGCGTCCACTCACGCCTCCGGCACCTTCACGCTGCCTGTGCCCCACGCCGTAAGGTGGCGATGCTGCTGGCGGTGTGCAGTGACATCTACGCGGGCCTGGCTTCCGGCGAGAACCAAGGTAAAGGAGGAGTCTGCGTCTACCTGGATGCGGACCCGCCTTGAGTGTTGCGGGAGCCCGTTAGGAGGCGCCTGTGTGCACGTTGAGGGGCAAGGGTAGCACGCTCTGTGGGAGGTGTCCAGGCAGGCCCGGAGGTCAGGTAAGAGGCGTTTGCACATCAAGCAACAAGAGGGGCAGCCAGCGCTCGTGGTCTTGGGATTGTTGTAAGGGGCCTGCACGCCCCCATCCATCTCTGAGCCTGTCCTGGGCTTCCCCAGAGCCCCTGGGCGCTGATGCCTTCCTCCCAGCGCTGACTGAAGAGCTTATCTGGAGTCCAGACATTGGGGAGACACAGCTGGATGTGGAGTTTCTTATGGAGCTCTTGGATCCTGAAGAGCTACTGGGAGAAGGTGAGCCCCCATCCCCAGAAGGTCAGGATCCAACAGGGGGCGCCCCAAACAGCCTCACCTTGGAGCAGGAGGGAAAGCTGGCAAACTGAAGTGGCCTTCGGGCCACCAGGGAAGCCGGAAGAGCTGTGCCAACCTCTCCTTCTTGCCCCTAGTTGGGTACTACCTGACCACATGGTTTGGGGCACTCTACCACATTGCCCACTACCAGCCTGAGGCAGGATGGGCGCCCAAGCGGCTCAGTTCCGAGGCCAGTGCCTCCCTGCGCCAGTGGCACCGCAGGCGGACGCTGCAAGGACAAGGCCACTCCAGAGCCCAGGTGACCACTGGTTGGACTGTGAGTAGAGGGGAAGGCTGGCCCTGTTGCCTTTCTGACCCAGGTTCCTGCCTGTCCCCGAAGGCTGACCTGCCCTTTGAGGAACCCTGGGGAATACAGACTGTGCCAGGAGACCAATGATGAATAGGAGTCTCAAGCCTTTCTGCTCTTCAAGCAAGATGCATGGGCACCTGTTGTTTAGGGGCAGCAAGGAGGCGGAGATCCCAGGAAAAGGGAACAACCTACCTCTGGGCCTTTGCATTGGCTGTTCCTGCTTCCTGGAATGCCCTTCCCTAATATCTACACTGTTCCTTCTCTCCCTTCTTTCAGATCTTTAGGCAGATTTCATAGTCTCAGTGAAGCTCTCTCAGACACATCTGTCTAAAACTGTATAACTCCTCTCCCTTGACCCTCCCTGTAGAAGGCAGAATGATGCACACCGCCCCCCCAATGTCCTCTTCCCAATCCCCAGAATCTGTGACTATGTTACTTTACATGGTAAAAGACTCTACAGATGTGATTAAATTAAGGATCTTAAGATGGGGAGGTTATCCTGGATTCTGGTGGGCCCAATGTAATCACAAGTGTCCTAATAAGAAGGAGGCAGGAGGGTCAGTCAGAGGAAGAGAAGTGATGATGCAAGCAGAGGTTGGAGTGAGGGCCAGGGGCCAAAGAATGCAGGCACCCTCTAGACGCTGAAAAGAACAAGGACTGGATTTTCCCCTGGAACCTCCAGCAGAAACTCAGCCTTTGGTTTTAGACCCCTAAGATCTATTTTGGACTTTTGACCTTCAGAACTGCAAAATAATAAATTGGTGTGTTTTTTAAGCCACTAAGTTTGCAGTAATTTGTTACAGTAGCAACAGGAAACTGATATAGTCCCTACCCTGATCTTTATTTTTTCCATAAAAGTTGTAAGTATATTACATACAGTGGCACCTCGGTTTTCCAACGTCTCCATTGACGAACATTTCGGTTACGAACGCCAGAAACCCGGAAGGAAATGCTTCGGTTTTCCAATATACCTCGGAAGTCGAACATGCCACGTGGCTTCTGCTGCGGGCAAGATCCTGAGGCCTCGCTGTCCGCTGTTGATCCCTCGGTTTCCTAACGTTTCAGATCTCTAACGGGCTTCCGGAACGGATTACATTCGAAAACCGAGGTACCACTGTACCATATAATATACTTATTTATTGTGTTAATTGTCCATAGTCTTGCCTCTCCCCTCAGAACAGCACTGTCCAATAAGAATACAATGTAAGCTACACATGTAATTCTAAATATTCCAGTAGCTACAATTTTTAAAAACTAAAAAGAAACAAGTGAAATTAACTTGAATAACATTTTATTTAAACCCAATATATCCCATCACTTCTCAGCCTTTTGGCTAAGACCAAGTGTAGTAACCCAGTATATCCCAAGTTTCACTGTTCTCCCAGGCTACAGGTCCCAGGTGTCAGGTCACATGGGCCCCAGTGAAAACCTGAGTCCTTCCTCAGGCTCTTGAGGCTCATAAGGCCCCATATGACCTTCTGGATTCTCCTCTCCTCCCGCTGGCCTCCTCACTCTCCTGCTACAGCCTCAGGAACCTCTTCACTGTTCCCACACACCTCAGGCCTTTGCAAAAATTAAAAACTTATGTGCACTCTGGCTGGTTTGCTCAGTGGTTAGCGCATTGGGTTGTGGACCGAAGGATCTTGGGTTCGATTCAAAGGCACCGGAAAGAAGGAAAAAAAACTTCTGTGCATCAAAGGAAACAACAGGACAAAAAATCCACGGAAAAGGAGAAAATATTAGCAAATCATAAGGAGTTAAGATTCAGAATATGCAGAGAATTCCCAAAACTCAGCAACAAAAAAACCCAAAACAGCCCATTTAAAAATGGGCAAAGGACTTAAGATAAACAACGGGCTAATAGGCATGTGAAAAGATACTAAAAATTAGGGAAATGTAAATCCAAATACAATGGGCCGCCATTTATTCTCTGGGTACTAGTCAGTGCTTAGTGGCTTGCGTGCCTGTTGGAGGTCATGGAGATGATGTGACCACCAGTTGACCCTTAAGCTGGACCTGGGCAATTAGAAGCTCCTCATCCCCTCCTCTGTCCTTGGAATGTACTTGTTCCCATAGTAGGAGCTGTTCCAAGGAAATAGCCTTGAGGAAGGTGATGTTGAAATCATCTGGATGGTACATGTGACTGAGCCCAGTTAAGGCCTCTATGTAAACTTTTAAGATCCTGGCATGCGGTTACAGAGATCTACTCATCTTGCAGCAGCCCAGGACAAGCCTCAAAATCCCCTTACTTATTCCACCTACCAATCTGGAGTGGTCTGCCTCTTTCTTGGCTCTCTCCCTGCCCTCTGTGTACAGGAGCCAGTTTGTGAACTGACAAGGCCACAACCTTAGGAGTCAAAGATTGCATTACTCTCTTCCCCTTTTTACAGTGTAAGACTCACAGATAAGAGGACTTGCCCAAGGCCACACGGCCAGGATTTGGACCCAAGCCATCTGTCTCCTGAGCAATGTGTGCTCCCAACCTCTAAACCGTATCACCTGTGCTGAGAGAGGTTGTAAGTCAAACCTTAGCTCCCCATGGTGGGAATTTTGTGTGCCTTGTTCACTGCAGAGTCCCCAGGGCCTGGCACAGAGTAGTGCCCAATAAATATGTTTTGAATGAAAGGATGAATGAATTAAAATCAAGCCTATTTGTTCAACCAGTTTATTATTATTAAGTACGTACACCATGGTATAACTACGTTGGAAAATAGCTTGGCAGTTTCTTACATTAAATATAGGGTGTCCCCAAAAAATGTATATCTGCATTTTGATTATTATAAAGGCAGTGTTAAAATGCATTTCATTTTCAAAATTGAGCTATCAGCTGTTAAAGTGTGTATACATTTTTGGGGGACACCCTGTATACACCTACCATATGATCCAGGCATTTCACTCATAGGTATATATGCTGGAGAAAAGGAATGTCCACATAGACTTATACACCAGTGTTCATATCACGTTTATTTATAATCGCCAAAACTGGAAACAACCCAAATGTCCATCAATGGGTGACTCAGTAAACAAACGGGGGTGACTTAAACTATTCCATGCAATGGAACAGGACCCAGAAATAAAAAGAATGAATTCTTGTTCAACATGTATGAATCTCAAAATAATTACATTGAATGAAAAAACGCAGACATGAGAGTGCACGCTATACAATTTCATTCTAGAAAATGAAAACTAACCCACAGTGACAGGAATCAGATCAGTGGTGCCTGGGGATGTGTGTGCAAGGGCGAAGGACGGTTTACCAAGAGGCATAATTTCTGTGAGGGGAAGTAAGGGTTAAAGAGTTGGGGGTATTTGGGGAAAAGGGACGCAGCGGCCCTACAGTCTTCCCATTCCATTAGAGCGTTGTTTTCTCCATTCAACCGCGGAGCAACTCTCGGTCTGGCCCCCTCTCGTCTCCCCATTTTTTCCCCATGCTGAAAAGAGGTCGTGGTCCCTTTAAGGCCCGTCCCTCCCTCTCCCAAAACTTCCCCGTGCCTGCTCTCTTTTCGATTCCGGACGGCCGGCCAGGCTCGCCGCCGAGCTGGTAGGGGATA